TCCATCACCCATCAACTGAACAGCCACTTCCTCGGTGACGTACTTATTTTGCTTAATCATCACATCTTCAGTAACCTGCTTGACACCTGTTGCCACTGCCGCTCGAGACACCCTAGGAAGGCCAAGACTATGAGTGTCGAGATCCCAGCACTAGCACAGTGCCTGGCACACGGAAAACTCCAGACTCCCTGCCATCAAGTAGACTCTGAGTCATAGCAATCCTAGGGAACAGAGTACAACGGGGCCTGTGGATTTCCGAGGCTGTAAATCTTGTGGGACCAGCTGGTGGGTTTGAACTGCTAACCTTGTGGTTAACAGCCCAGTTCCTAACCCACTAGACCTCCAGGAGTCCTCTGGCCCATAGAAGATAGTAAAATATTTATTGAATGTATAATTACACTCCTGATAAGTAACAATTCTATATGTTAACAAAAGGCAAAGCAAGTAAAATATGTTATCAATTCTCACTTCTCAAGTGGTCTTCCACCATGTCTATTTGGCTTTCTCAGGTGGGGGGGGGGGGTTTGAGATTATGTAGTACCACTGAGGAGTGCAGGTGGTTTATGGGAAGGCCAAAAAAAGCTAGGAGGCCAGTCACTAAGCCAGGGCAGTGCCTACAGCTGCCTGGGTCCTTTGACTTCACTCCCAGGTCCCAGACATTACCAGCTGAGCTCTCCTAATTCTCTATGAGTAATTATAGGCCCGGATTATTAGTGATGGTATAGTTCTTAGTTATAGTAGTGTGATATTCATTACTACTTCCCAACGTTTACTTGGGTATGGATATACTTAGAAAATGGGTCTCCAAAGAAGAGGTGATGTTTTCTGAAGTTCTGGTGAGACAATATGCTTTATCAATGTTTCCCTTAAACAAGACCTGGTGCCTGACACTCAACAAATGCCTGATGGAAGGATGAGCAACAAGTCTTCGATTGGAGTGAAAGAGGAGGAGTCAGAGGTCCACTCTTCTGGGGTGCACTTAGACCAGACTGCCTGACTGCTCTCATCCATTGGCCGGAGACTATGTGGCTGCCTGCACATGGCATAGGTCCACTGCCCAAGCTGTTCATTCGTTGGGGGCTGGTGGGGAATTGTAGCCCTCTGAAGATCCTGTCTCTCCCTTCTCCTGAAGTCTGTTTCTTATGGCTGTTTCTAAGGTACTAGCAAAACAGAGGGCTCCTCGTGATGCGTTTGGTGGTAGGCGTACGCCAGTGATAAACCAACCCTCGTGATAAAGTGTTCTCATTACATTTTTGGCTCTGTTTTGTAGGCCTTGTACTTGAGCACTGGGCACTTAGATTGAATCAAAATGCCAAGCCCTAATGGTTTTGCATGTCATTGATTCGAATCCAGCGACGGGTGAGAGGCAGATGGTGGGGGCGGGGGACTATGGGATCCCGAGCAAACACTGCCCTCCCAAGAGGGGTCATTTGGAAGCACTGGAGCTGACAGTTTGTGAGTTGTTGGCCAATCAGCTTGGTGAAGCGTGCCTGCTGCCATCCTTGGACGGCAGGGCGCTCTACTGCAGCGCAGACGCCTCCTCATTGAGACCTTCCTGCTCTCTGGCAGGCCCTTCACGGGGAAGGTGAGCATCTCAGGGGCAGAAATGCCAAGCACTAGATTTTGTCCCCACTGTCTATGTGCCCACCCCATCGCCCCATCATCTCACCAGCATCCTAGCAACTGGGTGCCATAGACTTTTCCTTCATAGTCTTCTGCCTCCTGTGATGAGACATGACACCAAAGCCGCGTCCTCGCTTGACTGATCATTTAGCTGCCTGAATGACATCCAGGCTTGGGGACAGAGCAGTAGGAAATGTAGCAGCTTGGTCTGTGGTCAAGCTTGTGACCCCCCTGTGAGAGGAATCAACAGGCTTTGACCCTGTTCTCTCTAGGAGAAGGTTGCCTAAGATTTTTCTAGCTTTTTCAGCAGCATTTTGGCTAATATTTATTGCTTGCTGACTCAGCAGATGCACTGGCCCTATGTTAAGTGCTTTATTATGCATTAGCTCATCGCATCTCTAGAAATTATTTTCCTCCCCCATTTTGTTAGGGAGAAAACTAAGGACTGCAGAGAATAAGTAATTGGTCCAATGCCAATGCTAGCAAGTGGAGGAGCCAGGGTTTGAACCCAGCCCTCTGAGCTGCAGTAGGTGCTCACTCATTACTTTTTTGCAAACGTAACCCCAAGGCCAGCGTTCTTAATCATTACTCTTTATGGATCCATCCTCTTTCAGAATGATAGTGTGCAGTAGTATGAACATATTATGATGTGTTGAGATACTAACCCAAAAATTGGAAGCCTGACTCCACCCAGAGACACATGAAAGAAATGTCTGGTGATTTCCTTCAGAGAAATCCATCTACTCCCTGAAGCCCACAGTTCTACACTGATACACACACGGTCACCATGGCTGGAAAGTGAATAAGACATGGGGAAAGTACGGCAGTCTAGCAAAGCTATTTGGGGAAAGACATAGGTAGGATGTGAAAATGGAATAATGCAGAATTCAGAAATCCGGCATTTTCATTATTCACCGTTTCAAAAACAAAAGCCTACTTTAGGAAGGAGAATACTAATGAGACAGAGAAGGTCCAGACAACACCCCCCAGCAGCTCTTTGCCAGCCCCTCTCAGGGCTGCCAGCCTAATGCTGGGTGATGCTCCTTATTTTGTTTAGCACAGTGGCAGCCACCCCTGGGTTCCAAGATGTGAAATTCATTCCTGCAGCACGTCCATTCCTCCATCTCCAATGGAGGCCCCACAGGCAAAAGTGCTACACAAAATAAAAAGCACAGAAGACCCAGACCCTCCCCTCACGGAGCTCAGGAACGCAGAATTTGCATCAGAATGCCCAAAGTGGAATTGTAGTTTGTGGCAGGAGCTTGGTTGTATGTAACACAATGCCCTGTAACACCTCTTGCATCTTGGAGAGTCTTTAATCTCATAATTCCTATAGTTTACCTTTGACCTGGGGTGCGGGTGGGGTGAGGGGACCTTATGCCATTCATTACAATTTTCCAAGGAAAGGATGCTACCATTAGCATGAGGAGCCCTGATGATGTAGTGGTTACACGTGGAGCTACTAATCTCAAGGTTCTCGGGTTGAAACCACCCACAGATCCACGGGAGAAAGAGGAGGCTTTCTACCCCTGCAGAGTTCCAGTCTGGGCAACCCACAGGGTAGTTCTATCCTGTCTGAGACGTCTAGTCAGCATCGACTCCATGGCAGTGAGGTTGTTGTTTGAGTTTTAGCATCAGCAAGCCCTGGGGTGGTGCAAATGGTTAGTTTACTTGGCTGATAAACAAAAGCCTGGAGGTTCAAGTCCACCCAGAGGGACCTCCAATGAAAGGCCCGGTGATTGGCTTCCCCCAAAAGCAGCCTTTGACAACTCCGTGGAGCATAGTTCTACATGACTTGCAATCAACTTGATAGCAACTTATTTAAGTGATACAAGTAGTTAAATGTTCCATTGCTGACCACAAGGTGGGAGGTTCGAGTCCACCCATTGATGGTTCAGAAGAAAGGCCTGGACATCTAGTTTGGAAAAGTGAGCCATTCAATAAGGCCCTGTGGGGAGCGAATTACAATGAATGAGATGAAACAAAGCATGTATGAATCATTTCATGTAAAATTGATCTCTTTAAACCTCCACCAAATCCACAATAAGAAGTTTTAATAAGACAACGAAAACCCTACTGAGCACAATTCTCCAAGAGGTTGCTATGAGGTGGAACTGAGTTGATATTAACTGATTTTTAATATTCCTATGATGTTCTCAGAACAACTTTGATTGTAACTCTTATGCCGTCAGTAACCGTAGTTGGAAGCCTTCACGGAATCTTTGGTGTCCCTTTGTGAGCTTGTCTTTTTACCTCAAGAGATTTCCTGGAGCCTGTGGTGTGGGCGTCCCCCACCCCCTCGCTCGCCTGGCTGTGTGGGCGGGAACCACATCCCGGCTGCTTCCGCGTGTCTGTCTGCTGCTGGCGCATCCCAGCGGGCTGCAGCTGCTGGCAGAGCCTACGCTTCAGCAGCCTTTATATAGCATCTTCTGCCCCCGTGGCTGCAGCCAAGCCACTTTAATTCAGATCAGCAAAAGCGAGGGAGCACATGTGCTAGGCACCGGAGGGATTAGAGAAGCAAAGGACACCAGCAGATTTCAGCAAGGGTCTGTAACGAAACAGAGGCAATGGCCCCACGGAAGGAAGGAAGAAGGAGATCTAAAGAAAGGGCGGGGAGAGAAGGAAGTGGGACAGAAGAACTGGGTGAAGGTGGAGAACCTTGGGGAGGAAGTATGAGCGGAGTTAGCCCCCCAAAGCCCCAGGTGCTTCCGATGGCAATGACAGTCAGAACAACAAAGGAAAAAAGTGAAAGAAGGGAGGAGGCCTGGGGGCTGCTCCCTTTGGAGAGGTGGGCTTGGGTCAGGATGGGAAAGTGCCCCACTTTAGGTGCAATTACAAGACCGGTGCAGTGAGTCTTTGGGGTGTTTTTTATTTCCCTCTTCCTGTCTTTTTTCTCCCGCTCTCTCTTCCTTTTTAGAAACAGCAGTGGGAATAACTCAGTTAAAAATTCAGGACCCGCAACACGGCTGAGAATGAGGGCTGAATTATAGATATCTTTTTTCTGAGGAAAGAAGATCAAAGGAGAGGGTTTACTTATTTATTTGGTTTGTTTTACTTTGCTTTGTTTTTCTTCCTGGCTGTTAGGGTTAAGTAGGTCACTGGAACCTCCAGTGGATGGAAATTGCTGGGCACAGGAGGAAGGACGTTCGTTCGCAGAGCCCGGTTGCTGGTGCAAATAAGCTCTTTTGCTCCAAACACTAGTTCCTTGGCTCCCTTCCTATGATGTAAGGAGCTGACAGCTGTTTGACCCCACCCATCCCCTCTTTTCGGCTTCTTATTATTTAATAAGCAGACGTTTGCTCGTAGCGCTCCATGTCGGAAGGTTGATCTCGGCATGAACTCCTCTGGTCTCTTCTCTTTCTCCTTTGTCTTTGCAGAGCCCACCTTTCCGTCCAGGATCTGCTCGTCGCCGTCCTTACTCTACTTCCTGGTCATCTGTCCCCTCCTGCTGCTGGCCCTGCTGCTCGCCTCCCTCCTCTGCTTGCACTGGAAGACCAAGAGGCTGGCGACGCTGCGGTTCGAGGCGAGTCAAGAAAAAGCGCTCTGGGTGGGCATGAAGAGGGTGGGAGACAAGACCTCCTGCAAGAGTGAAGAAGATGAGGAGGAGGAAGGCAACTGAATTCTCGGAGAAAGCCCAGGCCTGAGGGAAAGAGGGTGGACTTCTGGATGGGAGCAAGCCGGGGTGACGGGGTCGCCCGCGTTCTTGTTCTTTCCTTTGCGGCTTTGGGCACGTGACTAAGAGGCAGCGGGAGCATTGGTGGAGCACTTGGGAGCACCAGACCCTGTTCGCCATGTCTTGGTATAGGATCTCATCCAAGTCACTGCGAGGCTGAATCAGCTCAAGGGCAGTGGGTTTGATTTGGGGAGTGACCCCTCATCTCATGAGCTATCTACTAACAGTATCTCGTTGTCCTTGGCCACCTCTCCCAGACATCCCACATGCCTCCTCTGCAGGAGGCAAGGTCCCTCCCTCACATAGTGATGTGCAGATTAGAGGGGACCTTATAGGCGAAGTCCTGGGAGGGCTCCCCTCTTCTCCTCCCTCGTCTCTGTTTCTCTGAAACCCTCGGGCGGACCAGTCCCATAAGCCCTAGATAATCTACTAGACAACAGGCGTAGGAAAGGACACGGTGCAAGCCAGGCAAAAGGAATCGGGTGTATGTTCCCATTTCCATCCATTCGGCTTCCCCAACAAGATGCATCTTCCAGGAAGGCAGGACTCCATTGTCTCCCTCTGTCCCACTTAAAATTGAACTTGGCATAGTAGGTGCTTAATCAACATGGTCTCTTTGACAAAAGTATTAAAAAAACAAACAAACACTTTGTAGCTTGAGTTTTTTTCCCCCCTTCTGTAAGACTAAGTTGGTGCTGAAGGAACCCTTTATTTCTTTTACACCACAATGTTCTAGCTGCTCACCCCCAAAGACCCCACCTATCCTCTTGTTCCCCCAACCCAAGGGTGCCTGTGATTGCTGTCTTACCACTACCAATTGCCCTGGGGTCGGTCTCTCAGAGGGAGCTCTGCTCCAGAGCACTCTCTGGCTGACTTTTTCAGAAGTAACTCCACCAGGCCTTTCTTCTAAGACATCTTTGGCTGGACCCTAACTTCCAACGTTTCAGTTAGCGACCTAGTGTGTTAGCAGTTTGAAACATCCAGGGACTTGCCCTGGTTCTTAGCCAGTGAGTTATTGCCTGCGCCCTGCCCACCCTGGGCTGTAGAAAGGGGTGTTGTGGTTGTTCCAGCAGGGCTAGGAGTGCCAGGGCAGTCGGCTTCCTCAGCAGCACCTAGTCTCAGCTGGGAGAGACCCACAGAGGCATTATCATCAGGGCGAAACTCCTTACCACTCTCCCCAGGGGACCACTGCTGTCTCCTCTAGGCCTTGGGGCGCCTCAGCTTTGTTTCAAAAGCTGCTCAGGCCCTGTGGAAGCCAAAATTGGAAATCAATCCATGTCACCTAACAGACCTGAGGAAACACATCTATTTATTGTCTATGTGACCAAAGGGGTTGCTTTAACATTCGGTAATTTGCATTTCCAAGGAGAGCAATTTATTTTTAATTATTTTATCAGGCACACACATCCTCTCCAAACATAATTAGTTCCTTTGCAAGGGGATTATTGGTGGCTATAAGAACTCCCACCGTAGACCTACTGGATCCTTAAATTCATCTCCCTTTATTGCCGCCTTTGAAGTCCTCCAAATGACTTCACTTTCTTAATTTGTAGAATAGAGATAATCCCATCCCCCCACTGTGTGTGTGTGTGTGTGTGTGTGTGTGTGTGTGTGACGGTTTGGGGGATTGAACAAGATGATGAGAAAACTTTAAGATTGTGTGAAACTCATTGTTGTTGTTAGCTGCCAACGAGTCGATTCCAACCCATGACAACCCCTCTGTAGAGGCTAGAACTGTGTTCAAGAGGGTTCTGATACCTGTGACTGTTCATAAGAGATTGCCCGGCCTTGCTTCCAAGGCACTTCAGAAGCAAGGCACTTGCACCACCAGCTTTGCAATGAGGAGAGGGAGCTACTCCTAGAGGTAGCGACTATATTCACACGGGGTGAGTGCAGAAATGCGCAGTGTAAGAGTCTTCTGTGCTTAGTATTTAGTAGCCTGATTTTCTATGGATGTGCATAGAGATAAGAATGAACATCTACATGTGACCTCCTCCCTGGGGGACGGACACCAGAAAAGTGGGTGAAGGGAGATGTTGGACAGTGTAAGATATGACAAAATATTAATTTATAAATTATCAAGGGTTCATAAGGGAGGGGGACCGGGGAGGGAGGGGGGAACATGAGGACCTGATGCCAGGGGCTTAAGTGGAGAGCAAATGTTTTGAGAATGATGAGGGCAATGAATGTACAAATGTGCTTTACGGAATTGATGTATGAATGGATTGTGATAAGAGTTGTATGAGCCCTTAATAAAATGATAAAAAGAAGAATGAACATCCTGTCACTATCTCAACTGCCTTATCTGTTTGATGCCTGCCTTTACAATATAATGTACTTGTTAGAAACGTGATGTTTCTTCCATGCCCCTCTGCATCCGAGACTCCTTCTGAACCAACTCTGACTGCCAAATAAAGACATTTTCACCAGAAGCATAATTTCTTATTGAACCATTTGCTGAGATGAAAGACCACATTGGCTAAAGACAGTGACTAATAAGCTCATCTGCTGTAAATAATGAGTATATAGAAATCCCACCTTATTACTCCCTTAAGGGCATGCTCGCAGTGGGAGAGGGTTGAGAGAGTGGATGTTCCAGATTTAAGTTGCCTTTTTCAATAATGTGATCCTCAGATGAGCTAATCTCATCGCCGTCCCTTCCCACTCTCCTGCACCCCAGCTGCACCAATTACTTGCTGACTTGCAATCGTCCCCCTGATTTGGTGCCTTGCATTTTAGACTATCTGTTCGGTTTCTCTTTCTGTGGGCCTGCCCACCCCCGTGGAATTGACTTGAATATTTGTTTATTGCTGAGTGTCCCACATAAAACACTTACTAGAGGAAAACCATCCTCGCTGCTCTTTAATTTGTGTGTGCATAACAGGGCGGTGTTCATGCAGAGAGATTTGGGGTGCGAGCCAAAAGTCCCAGCTCACTGCCTGCCCCCATGCCTTGCCCTTTGGTACTAACTCTAAGAGGCTGAGCTCTCCTAGTCAAGTCTTGGGTCCTGTCATCTGAGACCATCTTCTCTTGGGGGTTCTTCTCTGTGGCTCCGTGTGCTTGTGCATCATGCACTTGGGAGAAAGCTTTCTGTGAAGCCTTCCCTAAATCATTGTTGTAAAATGAAACCTTATGACCTTGCCTCTTTCTGTACAAAATAAGGACTTCTTGGTAGTAAGTGTGGAGAGCCACCAGCCAATAGAGCACAGACATGCTATAGGATTAGCCATTATTGCTCTTGAATGGCATGTATGCATCTCTGTAGTGAGTCTACTGTTATAAAAAAAATAACAGTAGTATTTCTTTGGGTTCAATAACAATGAAAACTAGGGATCATGAATTCTGATCTCTAACATAAATATACAGTCCAGGCAGGGAAATAAGAGCAAATCAGTCTCAGGGACAGTCCTTGGAGAGTGATGAGAACCAGGGTTCCTGGACCATGTGTGTCTATGCAATGAAACCCAAAGTCAGTATTGAAGGCACTGTGTAAAAGAATGAAACCATGTTGGTGGTGGGATTCTTGCCTTTGTAATCCCTGCATCAACTCTAAAAGCCACCAACAGATAGCAACATTGCCACCAAAACAGCACCTCAAGGTGATTTCTACCTCAAGGCCATAAAGCTTTTCATTTATGTCTTCCTCTAGTAGCTTAATTGTTTTACCATTCAAAAATGGGTCTACCATGCATCTCAAAATAGTGTTTGTGTGTGTGTGTGTGTGTGTGTGTGCAAAACATGATGTAGAGGTCAACTTCCATTTTTTCCCATACGATTATTGAACTGCTGCAGCATTATTTATTAAAAAGCATCCCTTCCCTGCTGCACTGGCATCTCTAACATAAATTAGGTGAATGTACGTGCTTTCATGAAAATCTAAGATATATGTGTCTATCCCCCATTGAGCTCAGTAAGACACTAAATCACAACCTTGTGGGATTTATTACAAGATTCCAAGATTGGTTTGGCATTTGAAATTCTGTCTCTGTAATTCACTATATTAATAGAATAAAGAAGAAAAAATACTTGATCATCTCAACAGACACAGAAAAAACCTCTAATAATATTTGATATTTATTCTGGTAAGATGTCTCAGTAAACTAGTAATAGAGGGAAACTTTCTAAATTTAATGAAGGTTATCATACTGAATGATGTAATATTGAATATCTCACCGAATTTAGGAATAAAATGAAGATGCCAACTGTTGCTCTGTCTGGTGGGTATTGTATGGCTGTCCAGGGTATGAGATAAGACAAGGGGAAAGATTGCAACAGAAGCTAAGCTCTTTTATTTGCAGATGGCCTGCTTACATTTCTAGAAAATTCTGAAGTATTTACAAGCAAATGGATGACTAAATACAAGACAGATCCATATACAAAACTCATTTATGTTTTTATATGTTAAAAGGAAACAATTAGAACACTACATTGGGAATGTATTTGTAATTGCAAAAAAATATCGAATGCCTCGCACTAAATTTAACAAAAAGTAGCACAAGAACTCTACATGGAAAGCTATGAGACATTGCTGAGTTAAATTAAAGCACTATCTAAATGAAGACAAATTCTGTTGTCTTGAATTAAAAAGCTCCATTTTCACTGCCATTGAGTCGACTCGGACTCACAGAAACCCTACAGGACAAAGTAGAACAGGCCCCGTGGGCTTCAGAGGCTGTTACTATTTACAGAAGTAGAAAGCCTCATCTTTCTCCTGAGGAGCAGCTGGTGGTTTCAAACTGCTGGCCCTGCAGTTAGTAGTCCAACTTGTAACCCACTACTCCACCTGGACTTCCTCCAAATCAATCTATAGGTTTAATGCACTGGCTACTACTAACAAAGAGGCAGGTAGCGATTTGGGGGGATGTTTGGCAATACGTAGAGCTGTTTTGGGTTGCCACAGTTCAGGGGCAGAGAAGAGCTGCTGGATCTAGCGGGTAGAGTCCAAGGATGCTGCTAAACATCCTGTCGTGTAAAGGACAGTACTTCTCCACAACAAAGAAACATCAGGTCCAAAATTTCAGTAGTGTTGAGGTTGAGAAACCCTGCTTTAAAATAATCGTAATATAAACTCCAGACAATATTCAGACATTGAGAAGCTCATTCTAATAGGAAGGGGCTTCATAAAGGTGGTGAGAAAATCCTGGATCTGCTCATTTAATCTTCTCATCAAGATTTTGAAGCCCCTCAGTATTAAATGGAAGCACAAATTACCTAGGAGAGGTAAGACACTATTTAAGAAGAAAACGTTGGAGAAATTATGCTCTCATATTTTGGGACATCATGTCAAGCTATATTAAGACAATGTGGGGCAAGCAGGAGTAGGTGCACATCTAAACAAAGAAGCCAGTGAGAAAGAGTCCAGAAAGACGTGCGCACAGAGACTCCCTGATTGACATCCAGAAGCCAGTGTGCTGAGGAAAGGGTACACAGTGCTGAAGCAAATAAACAATCACTTAAAAATAAACTCTGATATCTGTCTCACATTTTATGTCATCACAGGAAGAAAACTTGATGCACTAGACATCACTAAACTTGTCAGTGCATTGGTGCCTGGCTATCAAAAGATACAGGATCTGAGGTCTTACAGGCTTGAAGTTAAACACGTGCCCATCTAGCAGGGAAGCAAATAAGTCCATGTGGAAGAAGCACACCAGCCTGTGT